CATCCGAAGCCAACTTTTACAGCCGCTTCATCCACTTTCACCATCATTTTACTCCCATCCCACCATTTGTCACGTCAGGATTTACAGTTGTTATAGAAAAGACTTCCACCTCTGTTTCTGACACACGGTGAACAGCCGCGCCAGGATCCGCTGATACATTCAAATACTGTTGTGTCGAATTTTGATGTTACAAATGTATGATTGTATAGAAGTAAAAGCTAGATCCCTGCGTATTCCTTCCTTATTCATTACCTTTGCTTGTGTGTGTCGAGGTGAGGTTAGGTGAAATGGGGTTGAACGTCGCGTCCAAGATTACTGCACTTATATAGCGACGTGCATGTACGTGTGCGTGTTTGTGTGGCTGCTTGTACTAGTCCGGACTGATGCCGATTTCTAGTGCTAGCTCACTGAGATACCATGCCGCAGTTTAACATGAATACCCCACTCAGACACATTATACTGACTCCGGGCCGACCAGTCCTTGTTTTAGCCCCTTAAGGCCGTGCGCCAGACAGGGTAACAACAAGTACCATCTTTTAACGTCTTTTGGTATGACGCGGCTGGGCAGAGTTACGTTCCTTTGGCACGCCAGAAGCCTTAAATTGTGGGTTCGAATCCCGTTTCGCCCCGATAATGTTTCTATGTTTGTCAGCACCATACCCGTGCTCGTGGGTTTCACCGAAGTGGTAGACGTTTGAGACCTGCATCACTTCGGGCTTTCCTCCCACATGAAGCTGACACGCCGTGATATAATTTGAATACTGTTAAAAAAGGCGTTAATCCCAAGTCACTCTCTCACTCACTCTTTGCTCCCAGTTGGAACACGCGGGGATATAACTAACATGTCAAACGCGGTGTAAAACCCAACTCACTTCATCTAAATAATAAATAAGACAATCACGACATACATGAAGATCGCCTTTACTTCACATACTTGAGTCTGCAGTGAATCAACCATCGCGGGTCCTGGCCAACGATGCTGATTAAGGTGGACTGAGGGGGTGTTGAAGGTTGAAAGCAGTTTATTCTGAAAAATTAGAAGAAGGCATCTTTCAATCAATATTTAGTCGAGGGTGCAAGATTTTCCCTCCACGGCTGTGGCGTGACAAAATGTCACAAATACTTAGCATAGCACATAAACCTAGGAATATATTACTTAAATACACTATTCTAACACTGGATGTAACAATGAAATAATTTGGCGGCACACGGTACGTTTGATAAGTATGTCAGATAGTACAAATGTTATGTTTGTATGTCTTGCCTCGTTGAAGACGGCTGCTGCAATTCCCGTACCAAAAGTAGCCCCATTTAGCAATGTTGCATGCGCCTATCTCACTTAGTTAACCCTTGTGGTGAGAGAATCACGATCAAGCTTGTCCTGCTTGACTGGGGATTTTTCCATCTCAAATATGTACAGGCATCGTCTGTTAGGGTTCGTTTTACTAATACAGAATGAAAAGCACTCATTTAATACAAATAAATATGAGAAAAATAAATTTAAATATAAGATAAGATAATAATATTCCCTTCCCTTAATATAAGATAAATTGTGATGTACAAAGTTACTTATTGTGTATATTGGTAGTATATAATTATTAACTGAGAGTGTTAGTTGGCTGTGCCTTCGCTGGGGTTGAAGTAATGCAAAAGCATTGTCCCGAAAGGGTGTCGCAAGACCATGTCATTCAAAGACGTTTTAGATCTATCACTGTTTTCATCGTAATATATTTGTTTAGGGTCCCAAGTAAGGTTATCTATAGCCCAGTTTTCTATATATTACTGTCAAACAATAGATAAAACGTTTCACTGCTATATACTAGTCTAAAATAAACTCGGTAAAAATATAGTTATTATACTGTCCATCGTTTACAGGTTTTTATATATTTGTGTGCAACTGAGGTTAGTCACGATTTGGATGAAATACTGCCGACCTAACTTCTAACTCACTCAAACATCAGAAACGCCTCATAGCCTATCAGAAAAAGACAGTAAGGTGATCACCTACATACGGAAGCCTTTTAGGGCCATTTGGTTCGATACTATCTTTAAATTTCAAGATACTAAGTTGAAATTTCAAGAAACTAATTTCAAATTTCAAGAAACTAAGTTGAAATTTCAAGATATTAAGTTGAAATTTCAAGATACAGAAGTTGAAATTTCAAGATATTGAGTTGAAATTTCAAGATAAAAAGTTAACATCCTAAGATGTAAAAATACGTTTGAAGTGAATAATCTTGAAATGTCAAGATCCTACGGAAGCCTTTTAGGATAGTATCAAGATAGTATCTTGAAATTTCAACTTAGTATCTTGAAATTACAACTTAGTATCTTGAAACTTCAAGATAGTATCTTGAAAGTTCAACTTAGTATCTTGAAATTTCAAGATAGTATCGTAAAAAAAGAAAGAAAATGGCCCTAAAAGGCTTCCGTACCTACAAATAATAAACAGTTACTTCAACTTGGATCAAACGTTATGACCGACGAATTCGGCAGTCTATTGGCAGAAGCACGGGAATATCTTTACCGATTTGTCAAAAGCCGTTCAGATAAACATAACGCGACACATGTCGACGACCCGTCCCCAGCGGGGACCATTTTTCATCCAAATACTTGATAGGCATCCTAGAAGTTGGTAAGGAAAAGAGAAAACATACAACTGTATGGATAATAAATAAATGCAATGAACCATAAGTTATTATCCATAAAGGTGTATGTTTTTTCATCCATCATCAGTCAGTGTAGTCAACACGAGCCACACGGAAACATCTCTCTGGGTCACACTACCTCAACATTAATCAACGTCCTAGTGCCCCGTTCCACAAAGCGATCGTAACGCTAAGACGATCGTAACTCCTATACTTTAACATAGACTTACGACTGTCGTAGCTCTACGATAGCTTTGTGAATAGGGCCAGGGCGCCGTTCCACAAAGCGATCTTAGCGCTACGACTATCGTAAGCCAGGAGCTACGATCACCTCAGCGCTAAGATGGCTTTGTGGAACGGGGCCCTGCAGTACAGTAATCACAACTGGATTTTGTAATACCTTGGTCTTACAACTAATAGGACCTCCTTGGTAGAGAGGGTCTAAATAGGACTCAAAGCAAATGCTTCTATCATGTTCTTTTTTACATTTTGTCTTTCGTAGTTTCGTAAAAACAATAACTTTTCCAAGCGGATGTCTGCAATGTAGGAAGCGCTCGTACAATCACCTCTCTCATTCTGTTTCTGCCTGTCTTGTTTCTCCATCTCGTTGCTATATCAGTTACAACTCTCTGTGTTACCATCTGTATGTCTCCATCGACTGTGACACAGTGTACGTATGACGCTACACGGTCTTTTACTGGTGTTACCATCTACATCTCTCCATTGACTGTGACAGTTATACGTCATCAACAATTTTAGTAATGTGTTTACATGTTTAATATCATCGATTGTTAGTATTTACGTCGGCAAGTAGATACACTGTTTGGCTAACGACACATTGTATTGCTTATTCGCCAAGTGGCGTTCTGCTGTTAATAGATATACATTCTGTGTGTCCGATTGACAGGAAAGTAATAAATTCAGGAGAATTTGGAGCATGATATTGGGAAAACTTCATTAACATGTAATACCGTAAGTAAAAAGATGAAGAAATATGTTCATTTTATAGATTAAGGGACCAAAACATACTTTCATATCAAAGATAGAATATTATGTCAACAGTAAGAAATAAAAACTATTCTCCTTCCACTACTACAACTACGACTGCAACTCCTATTACTACTACTCCTACTACTACTACTGCTGCTGCTGCTGCTGCTGCTACTCTTACTAATTCTACTACCACTACTACAACTACCACTACTACAACTACTACTGCCATCCCCACTACTACAACAACTACTTCTAATACTACCACTACGCTGATTTCTTTGCTTATATACTACCAGTGGTCCTGCCTCCATTTCACCTCACCTCACCACCCTAACGTCGCATGTTATGATGCATATCAATGGTACAGTTGATGATTACCCTAGCTACAGGGACAGAGGGCGGTCGGGTAGCCTAGTGGTTAAAGCGTTCGCTCGTCACGCCGAAGACCCGGGTTCGATTCCCGACATGGGTACAATGTGTGAAGCCCATTTCTGGTGTACCCCGCCGCGATATTGCTGGAATATTGCTAAAAGCGGCGTAAAACCATACTCACTCACTCACCCTAGCTACAGACTGAGACCTGCATCACTTCGGGCTTTCCTCCCACATTATGCTGACATGCCGCGATGTAACTAGAATACTGTTAAAAGCGGCGTTAAACCCAACTCACTCACTCACCTAGCTACAGAGTTACAATCAATGTCTATATTTCACATGAATATAACATAACAAGGTCTATACATAGGCTGACAATGAGCTTCAGATCGGGGAGGATAATCTTAAAAAGTTCAAAAACTAGTTTAAATAAAATCAGAAAAATACATCACAGAAAAAGTTCAATAAAGATTCACTTAACAATTCTGTTTTAAGTGAAGTGTTGAAAAGGGTCAGAAGGTCATTGTTGGTACAGTAAAAGGTCACTCATTGTGGTCAGATGCGAAACACACGTTCTCGCCATCACGGTCACTGGAAGTAACATGTCTTCCGAATACAACGAGAACTAAAGTTATACATTATGATTGTACCTTTATAATATAAAATCCTCAGAGACATATATAACTGTTTACCTCACGAGGGCCAACATATGTTAGACCAGGGACCTGACTTCCACGACGCCAAGTCATCAGTTGAGGTTACCAGTTACAAAACTTGTCCAGTGTACCTACATCCAAAATATCAGATGAAACGGTTTAAATTATGTGACGTACTAACGCGGACCTATTAAATGACCATCGACACCACAACGAGCAATTCATCTGTCTACCTGTAATTTCACAAGAACACCGCCACTGAACAGCCAACATATAAACACTCGTCAGGTAAGTATGAGGACCAGGTGGTTGGCACTTGTCATGCTTGACGGGCGGAGAAGACAAACCGGTTCTGTGTACCGTGATTTGAATATGCAAAGCCAAGGAGTGCGAGGCGAGCTCGCTACCTGGATCAGGCCAACACCCTCGTACTAGACCAATAGTGGTCCATTCTTGCCGAGCGCCGAGTCAGTGCATTTGACGTTCAGGGTCGCCTGATACACAACAAGCAAGCGGCCGGGTAACAAGGCGGATCGATAAATTGGCTCCATTGAACTGTATTGATTCTGTACTTAATTTGATCCGACGGCTGTAGAGGTGTGAATGAAGAGGGATACCCCCTGATAACTGGATATTTGTGGAACAATTTACTATTACAACTATGGGCGAAGTTGATATCATCGGCAACCAGGCAAGATCCCGGGAGGGTCGGGGCTTGTCGGTGAGGGGTGGGGACAGCGACAAGTGGATCACTATACAAAAAAACACTTTCCAGAACTGGATAAACCTACAGCTTCACGGGTCTGGCCTGTCAGTGGACAATCTACAGGAGGACTTATGTGATGGTGTCAAGTTGTGTGTTCTCGTAGCATCTCTACAGCAGAAACCCAGCATCGGAAGAGTTATCAGGAAACCGAATAACCCACACCAGTACCTTGAAAATGTCACTCTCGCACTGAATGCCATAGCGGCCGACAATATACGACTTGTCAACATCGGTAAGCAAGCAGTCACACACCCCTACACTAGACCCACCTTTACCACGCTAGGTTTTGCTAGCCTTAAGCAAATGACACTTTCTGATCATGACTCCACAACCATCTATCACCTTTGACCTGATTAACATGTCTATTTCACGTATATCTCACTAAGTATGTTGTATATATATATGTAGGTTAATGCCCGGTATTAATAACGATGTATGTCAATAGCCTGTTGTTTGTTTCATCGAGATGATTTGATATCATGTCATGCGGATGCATTTTGTATTTTGTATTTTTCATTTTTGGGGTGGGGGGGTGGGGGGGTCATTGGTGTTGATAGCACCTTGCTTTTAAGATATATAATAATTTTAAAATCTCATTTCAGTTAAATAACTGAAAATGCTGTCTTGATCTGTGAGTGGGTGAGTGAGTTTATGCTTTACGTCACATTGGCAATATTTCAGCCATATCGTGATGAGTCTTGATCTGTACCATTTAACAAAACAGTGCTTCCTATATCAAAGAATGTGTTAGTTTGGAATCAGATTTATTATCTGATAGCTGTATGTTCATATACAATCACTTACATGACACTGTTTATGTTCTGGACAATCCCAAATGCCACACTTGCTAACCCACTGTATTTCATGGTTGACCAAGTGTGTTATTACTGATGGGTGAACACTTGTTGTGGTGGGGTTAGTGTGTTACATGGGACGGTCGACATGGTTAGGTTACTTTGACTTATGTCGATATCTCCGTCATATCAAAATTAAGTTGAAATGATGGAACTATTTCATCAGCAACCATGATTACAAACCGTCTCTCTTGTATGATTCAACTTTCCCTTGTAGCATCAATGAAGGCAATATTCCAGCATGTCGGTATATAAAGAATATTCCACATACTGGTATATATACACTATCAAACATACTGGTATAGACCTTGGTACATTATGCCACATGTAGGTATATAAGTGTGTACATATATATATATTTATTCAATATCTCACAAGTCAGTAATCATCACACCCGTGAAGATTCAGGTTAGAATTGGTCTTCAGCAGCCCATGCTTGTAAGAGGTGAATATGCTTGTCATAAGACATAAGAGGTGATCGGGATCGGATGGCCAGGCTCGCTGATTTGTTTGATGCATGTCATCGTATCCTACTTTAGTAGATTGATGCTCATGACATGATGTCAACCACTGGATTGTCTGGGCTGGAATATTGCTGAGAGTGGTGTCAAACAACAAAGAAACACAACAGCCTACAATGTGATCTAGTAACAAGTCATGGTTTCACAGAGTAGCTATTTCAGTTGCTTCAGGTGTGACTCCCACATTAAACATACCAGCACAATCAGACCTGCACCCAGTCCCACTTAAGGCCTGAAGTTATTTATACACATGATATACTCCTTTGTTGACTGCTGGTTTGATAAGTCAGCATTGGTGAGTAATCAGCAGGTTGTTTTCACACAATGGAAAAGAAAAGATTTGTTTTCCTAAATCTCATTATGAATCAAATCAAAACGCCAACTATCATTTGTGTCTTGATTGTGTGAATGATTGTGTGAATATTTCATAGATCAAAGCCCAACACTGCTGGTCAATTTGACTGGTATTAAACAACAAACTCTACCTCACTCACTCACTCACTCACTCACTCACTCGTGTGTCAGCGCTGATAAGCATGTTCTTGATAGAAAACACCCATCCTATATCAATATGTCTCCTACATTCCAGTCTACTTATAACAGTGAAATCAGAGTGGGTGTGGCTAATAGCTTGTGTGTGTGTGTGTGTGTGTGTGTGACTTTGGGGGCATGTCATTGTTGCTGTTGTCTCCATTGCTATAAACAAGTGGACAAAACTTGTCAGTATCATCGCCCCGACACACCCTAGTTGACACAGGACATTGTAACTCCCCACCTTCAGCCCGCCCCCCACACCCTAGTTGACGCATTCATGAAGGACTATAGTCACATTTCGTTGTGGACAACCATTCTTACCATTAGGTAGATGGAAACGTTGTGTCAGATTACGTTTTGAGGACTAAGGGATGATAACAATTTATTTCTAACTTTGCAGCAAATGTATAATTAAGAAATGTATTGAAAAATTCTTGTACACCATGTTCAGGTCTTTTCACTTTTTCGTACGGTGGTGGAGTAGCCTAGTGGTTAAAGTGTCTCATCATGCTGAACACCTGTGTTTGATTCCCTTTTGAGCTTACAACGTGTGAAGCCCATTTCTGATGTCCCCCACCGTGACATTGCTGGAATATTGCTAAAAGCGGCGTAAAACCATACTCACTCACTATTTTCAAATATTAATTCTATTTTAGCTAGTTCAACAACCACCAGACTAGCCATGCCTGGGTTAGGTAACTGTTTTCATGATACCAGGGCAGATACAATTGTCGCCATGGTTGTGCACCGCTGGACCAGAAGGTGGTGTGTGTCAGTGTTGCCGTCACGCACGTCCATCACTCCCATCATGCTCTGTGAAATAGGTGACAGTTTTTTGTGGACAAGGTAAACACTGCTGATAGGACAAACAAGCTATAAATTTCAAAGTGACCTTTTGAGGAAATGTGAGGTTGACGAAAGTAAACACAAGTGTCTTTCCTGGTGTGCAGGTACCACTCATGTATTTGCAGCACTCCGTGATTCATGTCACAGTGAGGGCGGCGCCTCGTACTCTTCATCTCACCTAGTGCGGGATGGGGAGGAGGATCTTCTCATCAACTACCATCAAGCCATATCATTAGGAGCTGATAGCGCAGGGGTTTATCTGGACATGATTAGGGGTCAATATTCGGCCCTAAGTCTGCAACTAATATCAATAAGAATTCCCAAATTAGAATAAAACATTTCCGACTTCATACTGTATGGTTATAACTTATAACAAATATGATCGCTTTGTAAGGTGACATGTATTTCCCTGATAAGAGCACCAATACAGGAAGAGGTTTTAATGCTGAGTTCAACATTGCTCACTTTAACCTTGAATGCAATAGTAAAATTCAATGTTAAAAATACTTCAGAATTTAGGAAAATAGGAACCTAAAAAAAAAATCGAATTTTTAACAAAAGAACAATTTTTTACCAAGTTCTCTGCCAAGGGCAATTAGTTTAGAATCATAGATAAAATTCCTGTCGTGCCTCTAGACTTCCCTTATGTTTGTATCAAATAGCAAATAAAGAAATAAGTTAAAACTGCCAGTGCAGTTTTTTAGGCCTCCCCAAAATTATTTGGTTTCAGGTAACAGGATCGACCCATTTTTTCACCTGACTTGTCACCCATCAAAGAAAATCCATGTCTCCCCCCCATCAAAGAAAATCCATGTCTCCCCCCCAAAACTAACATTTCCAACTTTGGGTATCTGTGAACACACAGTGCCATTTAAAAAGTGGTCAAATGTAACAAATGTTATATTTGGGATAACACTCTCTGAGTAAAGTACAGATCTTCGTTCTTTTTTGGTATGAGTCCCGTCCCGTTCCGTCCGGAAAGTGTTATCCCAAATATAACATTTGTTACATTTGACCACTTTCTAAATGACATTGTGTTTTCATAGCTTACGGCTATGGGAGCCATGCCAATTTACACTTGTCAGAGGGGTACACAAAGTATGTGATCTAGACTACCAGTTGTCAGACTTTCATTTTTGTGGAAGCCTCAGTGGCTGAGTGGGTTAGATCGTTGACTTTGCGTGCTGGCGATAAGGTGCCTCACTTGTTTCTAAATAAATCTGTAGCTATACAATTTCAGGCAAGTCCTATTATCATGATTATTGGTATTTATATTTGAACTATATATATATAGGTACAATGACATACAAGACCCATGAATGTTAATTGTTACATATATATGCATTAACATACAACATGTACAATGAAAGTTAATTGCTACACACATATTGGCATACAATTAGCGTTAGTTCAGGTGTGTGTGTGTGTGTGTGTAAGTGTGTGTGTGTGTCTGTGTCTGTGTCTGTGTCTGTGTCTGTGTATGTCTGTGTGTTGGCTGCGACTGCACCCAGTGTCAGCTGTGTGGGATGGTTAAGCTAACAATACCTGTGCCACTACACAGCAGAGTGAAGGCAGGTCACGTCTGACAGACACCTCATGAATAACAAACACTGTTATAACCATACTATTCATCAACCCACGTCTCTGTTGGCTAGGACAGATACAAGCACCACCCCATGATGTATTGAAATCTAGGGTGTGATATACACAGGCTCTGTCAGGATATATGTAATGTATTGAAATCTAGGCTATAAAATATACAGGCTCTGTCAGGATATATGTCATGTATTGAAATCTAGGCTATAAAATATACAGGTACTGCAAGGATATATGTCATGTATTGAAATCTAGGCTATAAAATATACAGGCTCTGTCGGGATATATGTAATGTATTGAAATCTAGGCTATAAAATATACAGGTACTGCAAGGATATATGTCATGTATTGAAATCTAGGCTATAAAATATACAGGCTCTGTCGGGATATATGTAATGTATTGAAATCTAGGCAATAAAATATACAGGTACTGCAAGGATATATGTAATGGTTTGAAATCTAGGCTATAAAATATACAGGTACTGCCAGGATATATGTAATGTATTGAAATCTAGGCTATAAAATATACAGGCTCTGTCAGGATATATGTAATGTATTGAAATCTAGGCTATCATATACAGGCTCTGTCAGGATATATGTAATGTATTGAAATCTAGGCTATAAAATATACAGGCACTGCCAGGATATATGTAATGTATTGAAATCTAGGCTATCATATACAGGCTCTGTCAGGATATATGTAATGTATTGAAATCTAGGCTATAAAATATACAGGCTCTGTCAGGATAAATGTAATGTATTGAAATCTAGGCTATAAAATATACAGGCTCTGTCAGGATAAATGTAATGTATTGAAATCTAGGATGTGATATACACAGGCACTGCCAGGATATATGTAATGTATTGAAATCTAGGCTATA